ACCGACCTAGGGTATTCACTTACAGCGAGTTTCACCGACCTAGGGTATTCACTTACAGCGAGTTTCACCGGTGCTAGTCAAATAGATAAAATATATAAATATATCTGAGACAACAGAAAAATATACGATTACCTAATTATCTATATGGGCTATACACATTTTTAACTACAAAATAATTTACACATTTTGATGATTTTGAGGAATTTCGTAAAAATATAATTTTTATGGTATATTTGACTGTGTAAACAAGAATGCATTTTAGTAAGTAAACTTTAATGTTGCAATGGTATTGAATTTTTTTAACATATTTATTAGCGCCATCTATTAACAATAATTTACAGCAATTATGCGCGCTTAAAAAAGGTTTATCGCCGATAGGTTGCGCTGTAGTTACTGTTCGGGCACGTCATTTGAAATGACTAAAATCGTTGGGCTCGTGGTTGATCATTAACAAAATCTTAAGAGTCCATTTATATTTTGCTTTAAACTTTTTAAATTTTGAGTTAGTTTAGCAATATGAGCAACAGTTGTACCATTTATTTTAAAGGGCAGTCAGTGGTATGGAAATCAACTGGTCGATATATCTAGTAACATAGGTCGATGATCGTAATAAAATTAATTTCACCATTGTCCGTGGATCGTGGCTGTGGCCGCTGTGGGAATAGTTTATTATTGTCAGTTATAATTCGACTTAAAAGTAATTCAATGTGTGTTGTCTGTTTGGTATATTTTTTTCTACGTTCTAAATTTATTAAAAATTTTAAATTTTATAAAAAATAAAATTAATGCTATTAAAAAGTATAAAACTTTCTATAATAAATACACTATCGATTCTATCGATTGATGAAAATACGAAAAGTGTAGAATAAAAATTGAATTTAATATCGATGTCTAAAAATCATCACGCGCTTAACGCGTGATCCGTCTTCAATGAATAAAATACTGTAACGCGCTCAGCGCGTTATTCGTCCTCAACGTATTTTTCTATTATTGTGTTTCGTCTCGAATGTGTTAATAAACATTTTTAACGGCTGAAAAAAATGGAAGGGATTTGGTCCAGGGTTCTAGCAGCAAAAATATTCAATATTAATTAGTGATATAGCAATATCCGATGGGATTTTATACCTTTTGATATTGCGGGTCGCGATGTTATTCTATCATTACGCTTACGACGCCACTAGCAAAAGGATATGAATTTTCAGTTGATGCATTTCCGATTTAATGATAAATTATAATGTTTAGCTTATACATATATCTTATTATAACAT